GCTCTGGCCCGGGGACGAGCCCCGCGAGTGCCCCCCGGAGGCCCCCGGAGCGCTCCTCTGCCCTGCAGCGCAAGAGGCCTCCCAGACGGCCCGAGGAGGCGCTCGGCTGGCTCAGCCGGGCTCCCAGATGGCCTCCGGGGGCCACGACGACGCAAAGGTATCGATCCACAGTTCCGCTTGCGATCGCTGCACTGGCCACAAGACGCCCAACCCGCCCCGAGAAGTTTCCCACAGCCTCCCAATTCCTCCAGAGGGCGCCCTGGGAGCTCCCAAGAGAGCCCCTACGACGGCCCCGGGGACTCCAAAGGCGACCGAACAGCCTCCCAAGACGGCCCCAAGGGAGGCCCAGGCCAACTCTGGAGCGTTCCCTCCCCATCCCGCCCCTCCCACGGCCAGCAAGCCCCCAAGAGAGCCCCCAGAGGCTCCAAGACGGCCTCCGGGACGTTCCCCAGCGGCTCCCGGAAAGCCTCCAGCAGCTCCCTCGAAACAGCTTGGACATGCTCCTACTCCTACTAGGCCCCAGTTCACTAGAACAGTGGTACCCCACGGGCTACTCGAAGGCCTCAAGCAGCTCCCACCGAACTGCTCCGATGGGCCTCCAGAAAGCACCAGTTCATTTGAAAAACCATGCCGCACACCTCTTGGGACACCTCTTGAGCGGGAGGGGTTGCAGAAGATAGCTGTCAGATCCAGCTGCGGCCACCCGGAAACGCTGTTTCTGCGACCCTTCCCGCGCCGAGCGTGCCCAAGAGGTGTGGTTGTTTTTGTCAGATTATCGTGCGCCTCCTCCTTCTCATCCCCGTCGTCGCTCTCCTCCGACAAAGGCGCTCCTGCCCGCGGGGTCGGAACCGCACGATTTCCTGGAGGAGGAAGCGCGAGCAACCTCGGCAGCAGTTCGGCGTCAGCGCCAGAGAGCACGGGCGCCTGTCCTATCTTGTTGCTGGTTGTAGGGGGAAGAAGAGGACGAGGAGGAGGAGCAGCAGCAGGAGTCGAAGGACGAAGACAGGCCAATAACGACGAGGAGGAGGAGGACGACGAGGACGAGGACGAGCCAGGCACGAGGAGGAAGAAAGGGCGGAGGAGGAGGAGGAGGAGCTGCTGCTGACACTGCTAGCGCTACTCTGGACGCCGTCAGAATCATCGAGCAAACAGCGCACCCTCAAGCAAGGATCAGCAGCACGGGCAGTCTGACAATTGGCATTCGCAGACGGTAGTTTACGGGTCAGCCTTAGTCAGCTACGTTGCTGTGATCAGCGCGTGCGGGAAGGACGAGCATTGGCAGCCGGCGCTGGCGCTGCTGAGCGAGACGTGGGAGGCGAAGTTGGAGCGCAACGTCATCAGCTACGATTTGGTGATCAGCGCGTGCAGGAATGACGAGCAGTGGCGGCGGGCGCTGGCGCTGCTGAGCGAGATGCGGGAGGCGAAGCTGGAGCCCAACGTCATCTTACCTACATTGCAGGCATACGTGCGTGCGAAAAGGGCCTGTCAATCAAAACCGGCAACATTGCAGACAGGAAGTCGCGCATACAGTCGAACCTCACCCTTGCATGCGAGTAAGCTGTCGTGGCCGCCGGGGGAATTCTGACCAGATCGGTCCGCATGTTGTGGACGTAGTCCACGGGCTTGCCCTAGTCAGCTACGCTGCTGGAATCGGCGCGTGCGGGAAGGGCGAGCAGTGGCGGCGGGCGCTGGCGCTGCTGAGCGAGATGCGGGAGGCGAAGCTGGAGGCCGACGTCATCTCTTTTACAATACCGGGAGGCTCCGAGACGCTCCAGGGGCCGCCCCGGCGGCCCAATGACGGCGCTCCGAACCGCTCAAGAGGGCGCCCCGACGACCCCAATGACGGCTCCGAGCCGCTGCAGAGGCCACCTCGACAGCCCGACCGAGCGGCGCTCCGAGCCGCTGAAGAGGCCGCGCCGACGGCCCCGCGGGCCCCCAGAGCAGGTCAGGAGCTTCCGAAGACCGCACTCGAGGATTCCCCAGGACAGCCCCGAGGCGGAAAAATCCTACCATCCCCGCCGGAAAACTTTCACTTTTTGTATTGTCGTGCTCTTCGCGTCCGACGTGTCCACGACGGCCACAGAAGCCCCCAAGATGGGGGCAAGGCCCCCATTGGGGCCAGCACCCGCAGGGGAGAGTCCAGGTCGAAGCCCCCCCCGGTGCGGCCTGCACGAGACCCCCCAGTAGAGGCACAGGGGGGGGGTTATGAGCCGTCGGCGGCACCCGGTGCGGCCTGCACGAGATCCCCCGGTAGTACAGGGGGGGGGTCGTGCCACGGGGCACCGCCGACATATATCCAGAATGCTCGCCCGTTTCGCAAGCTGGCTCAAGGCAAACAGCATGTGCGGACCTCGCCTGTTGCTACAGCGCGCTCCCGGGTGGCCCCGAGGCGCTTCACGACGGCCTCGGAGGGCTCCCCCACGGAGGCTCGAGGGCCCAGGACGGCCCCAAGACGGCTCAGAGCCGCCCGCGAGAGCGCCCCGACGGCCCGAGCGGACCCCCAGCGAGCCCCAGGGCGGCCCAAGAGTGCCCGACGACAGGCGAGAAACCTCCCAAGACGGCCCAAAAGACTCCACGTCAAGGCCCGAGACCACCAAAATCATAGATTTTCCATTGTTTTTTGAAGGATTTCCAGGCCCTTGGCATCTGAGCCCTGGAACGGTCCAAGACGCTCCAAGAGTGCCCCGAGATGGTCCCACGACGGCCCAGGACGGCCCCGCGACGGCCCAGGAGGCGCCCAAGACAGCCCAAGAGGCACCCAAGACGGCCCCAAGAGCGGCCCAAGACGGCCCAAGAGGCGCCTACGCCGAAGGCCCCGACACGGCCCCAGAGGCACCCAAGACGCCCGAACAGAACCCCCCGTGGCCCCCAAACGCCCAAAAGACTCCGGAGCTGCAGGGTTTGCTGCAGGCTCTGGGAGCCGGGCTGGAGGCTATCTTCGAATATCCTGGGGGGGTCTGCGCCACCTCGGAGTGGTCCAGGGAGGGATCTCGTGGTCTTGGGGCTGTCCTGGGGGCCACCAAGGGCTCTCCTGCACGGCCGTAGGGGGTAGCAAAATGACGGTCCCCGCAGCGTCTTCAGGTCCCCCCCCCTTTGTCACCCCTGACTGGCCGTGGAGGGGGGGCCACCGAAGTGGTTGCAGGTCCCCCCTGTCGCCCAGAGCAGGCGGAGTGGAGGCCCCAGAGCGGCCGGAGCCTTGACGAGGGAAGGAGAAGGAGGTCAGAGGAGAGCGTCCCCCCACCCCCAAGCGGCCGCAGGGGAGGGGTCCTGAGGGCGACTCTGTGCCATCTCGGAGTGGTCTGGGATCGTTCTTGGGAGCTCCGTGGGAGCCATGGGAGTCTCTTCCTGGGAGCGCTCTCGAGAGCTCCGTGGGAACTGTCGGGGTCTCCTGGCAAGCGTCGAGATCTTTCGGGTGACCCTGGGGCATCTCGGAGTGGTCTGGGGCCTGCCTTGGGGGTCTGAGGCTTTCTTGGGGGCGTTTGGGGTTCGAGAGACGGCGAAAGGGTGCCGTGGCTCGAGACACTCTCCCCGTGAGTTCCTTGAGAACCATCGGAGTCCCTTGGGAGACTCTGGGGCATGTGGGAGTGGTCCTTGGAGGGTTCTTGGCCCAGTGAGGGCTGCGGGAGGGGCGTCGTCTGGGCTCCCTTCGGTCCCTCCTCGAGCCCTCGTGGGGATCTTCCCAGAGCCTGGGGCCCTCTTGGCCATTTCGGGGGGGGCTTTCTTGGGCCGTCTCGGGGGCCTCTCGGGCCGTCCTGGAGTCATGTGGGGGGTCTCGGGCCGTCTTGGAGCTCGCTTTGGTGCCTGTTGGGCACCTCCTAGGGCCCTCTTGGGGCTGTTTTGAGGGCCACCAGGAGCTCTGTGAGGCTGTCTTGGGCTTCTCCTGCGCGATCTTCAGACCTTCTGGGGCCGTCTTGGGGCACTTGGCGGGGCCTCCTGGACCGTCTCGGGGCTATCTGGGATGGCCCTGGAGCCGTCTGGGGCCGTTCCTGGCTCGAACTGGCGAGAACATGGGAAACGCTCAGGAAACCTAAGGGAAACCCGTGAGTTTGGCCTCGGGGGAGCGTCATCGGGCCTGGTTCGACCGTTTTCCGAGGGACCTGCTGGCCCTCCATCGGGCCGTCTTGGGCTGTCGTGGGATTCTGTTCTGGTCCTCTCGGGCCGTCCTCGCCCGTTCTGGAGCGTCTAAAGCATGTCCTGGGGCTGTCAGGAGCCGCCTTGGGGGCCACCGAGGGGTTCTCTCTGGAGCCGTCGGAGAGCGCCGGGGCGCTTCGGGCGCTCGAGGGCAGCCTTGTCACGACAACCCCTTCTCGCACGCGCGACGCCCAGAATTGTAGTACGGATGACACTGGGCTCCAGCTTAGCGCCCCGCATCTGCTTCAGCAGCGCCAGAGCCTGCTGGCATGACTCGCCCTTCACGCACGCGCTGGCCAAAGCACTGCAGCTGGCATCAGCTGCAACGCTTGGATCAGCGCGTGCGCGCAGGGCGAGCAGTGGCAGCCGGCGCTGGCGCTGCTGAGCGAGATGCGGGAGGTGAAGCTGGAGCCCGACGTCATCAACGCTGGGGGAACCGCGCGCCAGAAGGGCGGGGGGTCCATGTGGTCAAAGCCGGCCCAGGCCAGCCCCAGGGGGCTCCAGGACGGTTTCTGAAGGGCCCCAAGACGCCTCCAGATGGCCCAAGAGGGCTCCAAGGGGGGCCCCAAGAAGGGCCCCGAGAGGCCACAATCATTGATTTTCTTTTGCGTTTTGGGGATGTTTTCGGCATCATCATGTTGTTCGGAGCCTCGACGCTCCAAGCGGGCTCCAGGGCCCCCAAGATCGCGCCACGATGGCCCAAGAGGCCCCCAAGAGAGCTCCCAGACAGCCCCAGAGAGCCCCCAAGACGACCCAAGACGGCCCCAGAAGTGCCTCACGAGGTGAAACTCCGACTGGCATTTCGCGCCCTCCGCTCCAGGATGATTCCAGGAACCGCCAGTTGGCCTCCAAGAATCCCCCCCGACGCTCCAGAAGCCCCACAGTGCAGGAAGACGGCCCAAGAGGGCTCCACCAAGAGGTCCCCAAGAAGGGCTCCGAGACGCTAAAATGATGGATCCCCCTTGAACTCTTAGAGGGTTTCAGCGTTTTCTGTTTTTCAGAGTCTCCACGCTCCCAGCCGGCCCCAGGGACCCCGAGAGAGCTCCCACACAGCCCAAGAGGCCCAAGAGCCCCCGAAGACGACCCAAGACGGTCCCAAGAGGACCACACGAGGGGGAACTCGAACTAACATTTCGCGCCCTCCGCTCCAGGATGATCCCAGACACCGCCAGCTGGCCCCCAAGAGGCCCCCCAGACTCCCCAGAAGGGCCCCGAAGAGGCCCACATCAGGCCCGACACCCCCGAAACCGCCTCCAAGAGGCTTCCGAGGAAAGGTCCCTCAGAGAGCTCTGGGACCGCGCTGGCCACCCAGGAAAATAAGGCCCCGATGCGCCTCTTATCCTTCCCTCCTTTGCACAGGCTCTGGTCTGATTTTTTCGCCTCTTCGGGGCCTCCGCGCCCCAAGCCGGCCCCAGGGCTCCCAAGAAGGCTTCCGAGGGAAGATCCTTCAGAGAGCTCTGGAACCGCGCCGGCCACCCAGGACAATAAGGCCCCGATGCGCCTCTTATTTTCTTCTCGCCTTTGCAAAGGTTCCAGTCTGAATTGCTCGCATCTTCGGAGCCTCCGCGCCCCAAGCCCGCCCCAGGGCTCCCACGATCGCGTCAAGATGGCCCAAGAGGCCCCCAAGAGAGCTTCCAGACAGCCCAAGAGGGCCCCAAGATGGCCCAAGAGCCCCCCCAAGACGACCCAAGACGGCCCGAAGAGGGCCCCACCAGGGGGGACCTCGAACTGACCTTTTCGCGCCCTCCGCTCCAGGATGATCCCAGGCACCGCCAGCTGGCCCCCAAGAGGCCCCCCAGACGCCCCAGAAGGGCCCCCAAGAGGCCCAAATCAGGTCCCAACACTCCAAAAACCGCCCCTGATACGCGAACATGACGCCATCTATCCTGATCGCCTGGCGGCCGCACCCGTTCACCCCGCAAGTGGACGTAGTCCACGGGTCAGCCCTAGTCAGTTACACCGCTGGGATCAGTGCGTGCGAGAAGAGCGAGCAGTGGCAGCGGGCGCTGGCGCTGCTGAGCGAGATACGGGAGGCGAAGCTGGAGCCCGACATCTTCTCTCCTACATGGCCGGGGGAAGCGCGCGCGGGAAGGACACATTGGTTGCGCCTGCCGGGCCCGCGCGGCGGCGGCGCCTCCGCGGGCCCGCTCCTGGAACGACGTCGTCCTGGCCCGGCCGTGGATTGTCCATGGGTTCACACCAGTCTCTCTTGCATGGCAGGGGGAAGCGCGTGTGGGAAGGGAAATGGATCAAGTATCCAAAATCGCCCGTGCCTTTCGCAAAGGACTAACGACGCCATGTCTGGCATTCCGATGTCAGCACCTCGGCCTCGGAGGGCCCCTGGCGCGGCCTCGGCGGGCCCCTGGCGCCTCTGGCACGGCCCGGGCGCGCCTCCGGGCGGCTCTGTCGGGCCAGGAGCCCCAGCATGGCCCCCTAGACGGCCCAAGAGGCCGTCCAGACGGCTCGCGGCGGCCAAACATGATCTTGTTGTTGCTCCCCACTTCCTGAGTGGGGTTCTTGTTTTCTCTGCACACCGCCGCGCAGTCTTCCTCGTCCTCACCCACGCTCCTCCTCGCACACTCGCACCTCATCATCATCATCATCATCATCATCATCATCATCATCATCATCATCATCATCATCATCATCATCATCATCATCATCATCATCATCATCGTCATCATCAGGACACACTCATTCGTAACCATCTACACACTATTACCCACACTCACTCATCATCACCATCCTCATTATCATCAGATTCGCACACCTCCTCATCAGCGCCATTATCACACACTCACCATCACCATCACGATCTTCACACATTCATCGACATCACCATCCCATCGTGATCATCGGCCAAGAGGGAGCCCCGTCTGTGAGTGAATTGCGAGGAAGTCTCAGGCGGGAGTTCCTTCCCTATGGGGTCTGCATTTCACGTTGGTACTCCGAGCGGGTCATCGGAAACCTGTAATTGTCGTCATTTGTTATTCCTCTCGATTGAATATGGAGGACGTCTCAGGCGGGAGCTTCGTCTGTGAGTAAATTGCGAGGAAGTCTCAGGCGGGAGCCCCCTGCCTGTGGGTCCCGCACTTCACGTTTTTAACCCGAGCGGGTCATCAGAACATTGTAAACGTCGGCATGTTTCGGCCCCTCTGGATTAAGAATGGAAGAAGTCTCAGGCGGGAGTTTCGTCTGTGACTGAATTGCGAGGATGTCTCAGGCGGGAGCCCCCTTCATATGGGGTCATCATGTCATGTTTTTAATCCGAACGGGCCATCGAAACTTTGCAACCGTCGTGACTTGTCGGCTTCTTCGGATTGAATTTGGAGGAAGTCTGAGGCGGGAGCTTCGTCTGTGAATGAATTGCGAGGAAGTCTCAGACTGGGTCCGCATGTCATGTTTTTAATCCGAACGGGCCATCGGAAGATTGTAATTGTCGTTAATTTCCGGCTCCTGTGGATTGAATGTGGAGGAAGTCTCCGGCGGGAGCTTAGTATGTGAGTGAATTACGGGATGGTCTCAGGCGAGAGCCCCATTACAATGGGGTCCGCATTTCACGTTGGCGATCCGAACGGGTCATCGGAAGCTTGTAACTGTCGTCACTTTTCGGCTCCTCTCGATTGAATATGGAGGACGTCTCAGGCGGGAGCTTCGTCTGTGAGTAAATTTCGAGGAAGTCTCAGGCGGGAGCCTTCTGCCTATGGGTCCCGCACTTCACGCTTTTAATCCGAGCGTGTCATCAGAACATTGTAAACGTCGTCATCGGCTCCTCTGGATTGGATATGGAGGACGTCTCAGGCGGGAGCCCCCTAACGCCTGGTCCGTTGGCCGCGACCGCGCCGGACTCTTTCATGGAGTCGCGCACGCTGCAGGCGACTCCGCCTTGCGGACAGCCGCCCTTGTCGGCGCCGGCAGGCGCTTCGCAGACCCGGAAGCGAGCCGCTGGTGGTGGCGCTTGCGCGACTCCCGCCCAGGCCCCTGGCACCCGCTGTGGAATTTCGATTACAACCACTTGCTGCGGCGCTTTGGCCTGGCGCTCGATGCTGTGGGAGCGAGCAGTTTAGCCGGCACGCTTTACAGCCTCCGGAACGGCGGCGCCAGCCACAACCGCCTTCTGGGCTGCCGCGCGTTGATGGAAGCGCAGCAGCGCGGAAATTCGCGCGCCTTCAGCAGCGCGCGCCGGTACAACAAGCACGGGCGGGCGGCCATCGAGTGGACGAAGATCCTTGCAATCCAGCAGCAGGTCATCGCGCGTTTGGCCGCCGGCATCGACGACGTCTGCAGGCAGTTCTCGACGCGACGGTGAGAAGCTGCCGCGGCCGCGACTCTAGGGTCTTCGTGGAGCTCTTCAGCGGCTCCAGCAACCTGTCGCGGCATCTCCGCTGGGCTGGGCACGCTGCGATCGAGTGGGATGTCCTGCGTGGTTTGGAGTTCGATTTTCCTCAACCAAGCTCTTGGGCCGTGCTGCGCGGCTGGCTTGTGAGTGGCAAGATTAAGGCACTTTTCATGGGCACGCCGTGCGAGGCTCTCTCGCAGGCGCGGCGCGGCGGGCCCGACTTACGCATGCCGAGGCTCCTGCGCGACGGCACTTACCTTTTCGGCCTTCCTAAAGTGCCTGCAGACGACCAGGCTATGCATCGCGGCAACCTTCTTGCGGCCCGCGCCGGGCAGGTGTGGAATCTCGCTGGTAAATTCGGCATCCTTGCTGGCGAAAAGAACATGGGGAGCAGCTGGCTTTGGCAATGTCCACACACAATTCTTACGCAAGCCTCCCTGTTTTTTTCACGAAGGAATCGTCGATCAATGCGCCGCTGGACGCCCGTTCTGGGTTCGCACGAATTCTTATTTTCTGTTTTGCCGCCCGTCGCCCGTGTTCTTGAAAATGAAATGCCACGGCCGTGGCCTTCGCGATTTCACCCTGCAGCCGCATCTCGAGTTGTCTGGCAAGGGAAAAGGGGCTGCCTACCCCAATGCCATATGTGCCCAGCTGGCCTCCATGTTCTCGCAAGCCAGTGTAAACAAAGCAGTCTCTCGTCAATGGATGTGAATGCACGGCTAGACCAGCACAATGTTTGTTGGTGGGATATGGGCTCGTGTTGTAGATGGGCAGTGCATCCTGCCAAAGGCGTCGTCTATCAAGCAGCTCACTGGATAGAAGACCGCGTTTTCGTTGTCCAACGGTTTTGCGCGGCACAGATCCGTTTCAGCGACCGTTGCAGAGTTTAGCCCGCCAGGGGGGGGTCCGGCGCTAAAGCGGGGCCCGATTTACGCGCTGACCCCGCCCTCTGGAGCTAAGTCGGCCCTCTGGTACAGGACGCACCAGAGTTCAGTAGTCCTGCTGGCTCCCAAGGCCAGCCCGCAGCCTCCAGAATTCCTCTGTACAGAGGGCAGTGCATCCAGCCAAGGCCATCCTTTGCCAGGCG